CTATAGTAATGAGAGGCCAAACATTATATGTTCATTTTCCCCTAGTGCCCCGTCTCTCTCCCCCTCCATATCATATCTCCAACATTCTTGATTTCTTCTACTACTGCTCCCACTGCTTCTACTACTGCTCTGTTTTCCAACCACCCCATCATGGATCTATTGGAACCTAACTCACAGCTGGTCCATGTTTTTAAAGCTATTGTTAAGCCAAATACCTTTCTTTTCGGTGTCAAGCCAGACGTTACTCTATCACCTGTCCAATCCCATATTTCCTCTCCATGATGTCTTACTGCTCAATTTGTGTCTAATGACACAATATCTCATGTTTCCCTGACCCCATTCCACATTGTTTGCTGTTATTAGCAGAGGAGACAAAGCAGAAGGAAAGGAGAGATGCTGCATCATTAAGCAACTTGAAGAAGATGTTTCAGAAGAGAGGTTGCTGTTCTGGCAGCAAATGAATGCTTAGGGAAATATGTAATTTGGCCTTCAGAGTCTGAGCTCCAACATACGATGAACACCTTGAAGCAGATGAGAGCTAGGTTCCTAGTATGGAAACAGCAGCAGCAATGACCAGAAACTGTGTGTTCCAGTGCAGCAAACTCTCCCATGCAGGCTTTAAGAGATACCACAGATGTTGACAGAAGAATAAATGATGCAAGTTAACATATTTGATTAATGTCCAATTCTGGTTGCAAAATCCTGGAAAGGGATTGAAAGAGAAAAGTGAACAAGAAGCTACAGAAAAGAGGAAGAATTTTGAGGCTTGCCATGAGTGGGATGGCCATGGAGTTTAAAGGGTGCTAAACTCTTCATAAGACCTCATTCCACAAAGTAAGTTGTGGAAACAAGACCTCATCACTGGAATCCATAGTTGGATTCCATTCAACAGCAACTGCTGCAGTTACTCCCAATTCTCTCTTTACTAATTCTGTAAGGGACAGACATATCCACTCATATGCCACTGTCAATTACAGCTATCCTGGCTTGCTTCTTGAGTGATACCACTCCGTCTTGATAGGATTGGTTCCCAATTAGGCCAATACCAAGTAGACTCACAAGGCGTTAAGAATTCAGTGGCTTCCACTGTGTTTTCATATCCCCTGTCCTATACCCAGGGGTCATTTCGTAGAATAAGAGCTAGGGGGACTCATTAGCATAACTTATTAGCATATGCCACACCCCCTGACATCACCGGAAGTGTGTCCTCCCCACAGCCGGCGGCGACCTCCAGCGGGCACCAGCAGGGAGCTCCAGGCCCCGCCCTCCCGCACCTCACCCGGGGGGATGGCGTCCCCCCCCAAATGACCCCTGCCTATACCTGAAGATCTTGAACACATTATCTCCTTTGAATAAAAGTACATTTACAGCCCTTCTCTCTCTTGCCTGCTACATTGTGGGACGCTTCTGTCTTCTAAAGTCTGCCTATGGTCTAACCAACAGTGGCCGCTGGCTAGTGTGAGATCAATCCATCTTTGAAAAATCCCAGATATTAAGTTCACCCTCTGCACTACTCAGGCTAATAACTATGCACATTGTACCTCTGTATCCTGAGTTCCTTCTTTGCAACACCCCTCCCACCTTCTGACTGGGATATAAGGACTCAGAGATCTCCATTCCAACTCATATCTGATGAAGGGACTCTTGAAAGCTTATACCCAAAGAAACTTGTTTGTCTCTGTGGTGCTATTTGACTTGAATCTAACTAAGTTCACCCTAAACACTAAAGACTGTACCACTTGGATATCCCCACTAACAGCCAGCAATGCCTTGCACTTCAGTTTTCCTGCCTACAACTTATTCAGCTACTTATTGGTACATGAGTAAATGTAACTATTCCATTGAGCTTTGAGTTTATTATATGCAATTAACTACTCATGCTGTCAGCTTATGCCTAGAACAAAGCACAGTATCAACAGTCTGCAGATGCTGTCAGTCATTTCACCATTTTTAAGACATTAGGCTATAATCTTTGTCTTCACAGTTATACCCCAAATTAAACTTTGTTGGTCTTAAAGGTGCCAGAGGACTCAAACTTTTTTCCATAGAAAAGTATTACTCAAGCCTATTATTGTGTACATTCTACATTTCTGCCAGCATGCTTATTATAGAAGGTTCCCCATTGTTCTGGGACCTGTACTATTCAAGATTTTCCACACTCCTTTCCCCCCCAGAAACACTTATTCATAGCTTAGTGTTTCATGTAGAAACTGGAAGAAAGCTTCTGCTGTACCATACCTGACTCACAGGGTCCTTCATGGGCCACGGTGAGATTAGCCCCTGGATGGGAGTTTTGCATCTCTTGGAACTTGCAGATCTGGGCATAGGTTTTGCCATCGGAGCCACAGAGAGCCTGGCTGGATAGGCAAGTGCATTGGGGCTCAGGTACTTCACCATGTTGTAAGTCCCCCGCATCAAGGCGGCACTCTAAGTGATCACCACACTTTCCATAGAAGTGGTTAGTATTGTCCAAGTCACAGATCTGTCCCTCTAGATTGGCACACTCCCAACAGCAGTCACAGGCATCTCTTACCACCCCAGCCAGGCAGCCACGTGGTGTGGGACATTCTTCCAACCTACATTCCAGACAACTCTCCCCTTCCTCCAACAGCCTCTGCCAGCCACGTTGCAAATACTCCGGAGCAGTTGGCAGTCCCCAGCTGAGAATGGCACAGTATAAGAATAGCAATAGAAAGATGACCTGTAAAGAGGATGAGTTAGCAGGATGAGACATTCTCACAAGTGCTCTGGAACTTGGCATCCATTCGTCACATTTATTTGTAACCACCCCTGGACAGTGGAGCCCTCTGTAAGTTCCACTTCCTCCTTCTCTTCAAAGCCACGAAGTCATCAGTTCCTAACAAAAAAAGAAAGGGAATTCAGAAGACAGTGATATATTTGGATCCAACCTCTGAGTGAAACCCTAGAGTAGATTCCCCTAATGCCTATGGACAACAATGAAATTGGGGGATTGGCTGTGGATCAATGGTGCAGCACATGCTTTGCATGAAAAAGTAAGTATTGGTTTTACCAACTTACTGGAAAGCCACTACCAGTTGGCACAGACAATACTGAGCTAGATCGACCAGTGGTCTGATCCGTATAATGCAAGTGTGACCTTATTTCTGGACCAAGATGAGAGGCTGCTGCTGTTTGTAAATGTAACTGAAATGCCACCAACATGGCCACATGTTTTTCTTGGCATAGATGGGAGCGCATCATCCTATCATACTAGCTGTTTGAAGCATAATTCTCAGGATAAATTTTACAGTGCAATGTTATGGACAAAAAAAGGGTTGTTTGCCCTTTGGGTTATTTGTGTCTTTTTATTTTGCTGGGTCTGTGTGTGTATGTGCTTGCATGCCTGAAAATCATGGTGACTTCTGGTGACCTCTAGTCAGGGCTGGCTCACTCACTAGGCAAACTAGGCAATCACCTAGAGCGGGACGGCCCTTAGGGGCACCAAACTGTACCTGGTCCCGTACTCTGGGAGTTTCTTAATTATTTGTGTTTTTCGTTCTTCCTAAAATGCATTTATTTTTGAAAATTGGTGGGTGCACGGGGGGGGGGGCAGAAAGGATCCTCGCCTAGGGGGCAAAACAAGCTGGAGCCTGCCCTGCCTCTAGTGGGGTTTGGACATTTTAGAGAGGTGGTTTGATTGCCTGCCTCTGCATCCCGAACCCTGGTATTCTTTGGAGGTCTCTCTTCCAATTACTTGCCAGGGTCGACCCTGCTTAACTTCCGAGATTTGACAAGATCAAGCTTGCCTGGGCTATCCAGGACAGGGTGGGTTGCTTGTGTCTTGATTGCCATCATAAGAATTCTAAACACACTGCTGCTTCCTTCCTAAAAATTTCAGATTTTTTCTTCTGAAGGGTGACTGACGGTGCTCACTGGGGCTCTGCTGAATACTTTCTTTATGGAGCTAGGTTAATGGCCATCCATGATAGATCCTTTTGAGCAGAAGCCTGATGATGATGATGATTTATATCACACCTTTCTGCCCTTACAAGGACTGCCAAAGTTGCTAACAGTTTAAAACATACATGATAAAGACGGGAGCGGTGGCGCAGGCGGTAAAACGCCTGCTGGTAACATCAGTGAACAGCTGCTACAGCTGTTCGAGACCCACCACGGCCAGGGTGAGCTCCTGACCCTAGTCCCAGCTCCCGCCCACCCAGCGGTTCGAAAGCAATTAATATAAGTGAGTAGATGAATGGGTACCTGCCCTTAGGTGGCAGGGGGCACCCTCCCCGTACGGGGGTGTGTGGCAGGAGCAGTAGAAGCGACAGCAGCAGCGGCGGTGACGTTGGAAATGGCGGCGATGGAGTGGCGGAGCAGCGGAGCGAAGGCAAGCGGAGCGATGGAGGTGGAGACAGAGGCGGAGCCACAGAAGGACGTGGTGACGTGACGCAAGCGCAGTGGAGCCGTACGGACGTTAGCTGGGCTGTAAGTCGATACAACCCACATACCAGACGGGCCCGCCAAAAGAAAGAAAGAAGAAGCCGCCGGACCGGATGACCACACCAGGAACGAAGCACTGACACCCAAAAGACCGCCCGGGGAGAACAACCAAGAAAAAATAGCGAGCCCTGCCACCTGGGTGCCGGTAGGCAGCCCCAACCCCGTAGACATGTGGCCTTAGCTCGGGATAAATTCGGAACTTGTAAGCCGCTCAGAGATCCTTCGGGGTTGGAGCGGGATAAAAATCGAAGATATAAATAAATAAATAAATAAATAAATAAATAAAATTACATTATAAAACCATTAAAATCAACCCCTCTCCCAAACATACATAATTAAAACAATTTTTAAAAGAGTTAAAATGCACACATAAAAAACATAAAAGCATTGGTTAGGAAGGGGGATCACTGAGCGAATGCCAAACAAAACAAAAAAGTCTTCACCTGCTGATAGAAGTGGGCAACAGAAGGGGACAGATGAATCTTCCTGGGAAGAGAGTTCTAGAGCTTTGGTGCCATGACCACGAAGACCTAATCTCAGAAGGGAGGGGGGGATCTGAAACAGGCCCTCCAGGATTACCACAATGGCCAGGCAGGCTCATAAGGGAGAAGGTGGGCTTTCAGGTATGTTGATCACAAATTGTATAGAGTTTTGAAGGTCAAGACCAGCAACTTGAGTTGTGCCCAGAAACAAATTAGAAGCCAGTGCAGAATGGCCAAGAAGCGAATGATATGATCCCAACAAACCATTTCCTGTCAACATCCTGGCTGCAGAGTTCTGTGCCAGCTGAAGTTTCTGAACACTTTTCAAGGGCAGCCCCATGTAGAGTGCACTGCAATAATCTAATTTAAATATAACCAAGACTTGCACTACAGTGGCCAGTTCTTTTCTGCCTAGGAAAGGCTGCAGCTGGTGAACCAATCAAAGCTGGTAAAAGGCACTCTTGGTCACAGCTGCCACATCTTTACCTAGCAGTAGGCTTGGGTACAAGAGCTCCTCCAGACTATGGACCTGATCCTTCAAAGGGAGTGCAGCCCCATACAGAATGGTGACACCTTAAATCCTGGGTCAGACTTTTCACTCACCAGTAGTCAGAGGTCATTTCGGGGGGGATCGCAGGGGATCACAGTTCTCCCAGGTGAGGTACAGGGGGCGGGGCACATGACGAAGCCCCGCCCCCTGCTTCCGGCCGCCCCGCTTCCAGCCCTCATTCAGCCAGGAGGAGGCAGGAGAAGAGGAAGGGTAAGTTGCTTCCTCCCTGCCTCTCCCCACCCCTGCCTGCCTGGGGCCAGGGAGGGCCTTCGCGGGGCTTCCTTGCACTCCCGCCGGCCTTGCAGGTCCACCGCCGGGCCCTTCATGCGGCTCGGCAGTGGAGCTGCAAGGCTGGTGGTGGCGGCGGCCGGGACCGTTGGGGGCGGGGTGTGTGGCCTTATCACACACTTCTGGTGATGTCAGGGGGTGTGGCATATGCTAATGAGTTATGCTAATGAGTTCCTCTAGCTCTTTTTCTACGAAATGATCCCTGCCAGTAGTACTTCAGTTTGTTGGAATTAAGCTTCAGTTTATTAGCTCACTTCCTCTGCAAAACTGCCTCCAGGTAGTGATTCAGGGTTTCTATAGTCTCCCTGGGATCAACTGGAAGTGCAAGATAGAGTTGAGTGCCATCTGCATGTTGGTGACAACCCAGCCCAGATCTCTGGATGATCTCACCCAACAGTTTCATGTAGAAACCTTGGCTGAAGGCCAAGGGGCTGAACATCAGTCCCCCAGCACCACCTTCTGAAACCTGCCCTCCAGGTAGGGCTGGAACCATTGAAGAACAGTGCCTCCCATCCCAGTCCAGTCCAGAAGGATACCACAATAAATGGTATCAAAAGCTACTGAGAGGTCCAGGAGAATCAACAGAGTTGTCCCTCCCTCTGTCCATCCACCAGAGCAATCAAGGCTCTTTCAGTCCCATAACCAGATCCAGGGCTATTTTTGGGCAGGAACGCACAGGAACGGAGTTCCGGCTAGCTTCAGAGTTGGCCACACCCACTACAGCCAAAACCTCTGCGTGCATGGCTACAGAGGGAAGGCCTGGAGAGCGACCCCCCCGGCGACTCCAAGGCAGGAGGGCCAGGGAGGGCCCTGGAAGGATCGGGGAGGCATTTAAATGCCTCCCTATGCCTTCCCCGGCCTATCCAAGGGTCAACTTGCCTGGGCAAGCCAAGGGAAGGTAGTTTAGACAGCCTTCCCTTCACTTCAAGGGAGGGTTTTCTCGGGCTCCCCACAGCCATGAGGCACCCAGGCAAGCCAAGGGAAGGCATGGGGATGTGTCCTAATATGCTAATGAGCTGCACTGTCATGGGTGTAGCCTAATATGCTAATAGGTTTCTGCTGTTGGGTGTGACCTATTATGCTAATGAGTTCCTGCTGGGCTTTTTCTACAAAAAAAGCCCTGACCAGATCTAAAACTAGACTGGAAGGGGCCTGAACTATCTGCCTCATCCAGGAAAGCTGGGAATTGTCCAGCTACCATCTGTTCAACCACCTTGCTCAAAAATGGAACATTTCAGACTGGTTGATAATTATTGAGATCTCCTGAGTCAAGGGTAGGCTTCTTTAGATGCTCTCTTGCTAAGAAAGTCCGCCTAGTACCCTCTGACCTCTCTTTCAGGAAATCAGCTAAAAGGTTCCTCTGCCAGACACTTTGAGTGAAATGGGGGTCAAGTATTTTATACTGTTTTGGGGTCTTTTTAAAAATCTTGTTCCTTTGCTTATTTTAGAGTATTTGTATACCTTGCCTTTCTCCTAGCACAATCAGGACCCAAGGTGGGTAATGACGACATATGCAGTATAGAAATAATCTACATTTACAGCCTTGTCAAGAGGCCCCAAAGGTAGGAATATGTCTTGTCCCTTCTGTTGCACAGCCAAGGGGCAGCAATAGAAAAGGCCCAGGCCTTATCCCATAGTAGATCATATTCTCAAGAGGGAGGGAACTGCTAGAAACCCTGTTGTGAGGAGCTCGACATGTGTGTTCCCATTTTCATATTGGATTAGATTTAACTGATTATGTTCCTGTGTATTTTTATGACTGGTTAACAGCCTTAAAAACTTTCTGAATGAAGAAACGTAGGGCATAACGTTCTACATACATAAATAAATTGGCTTGGATCCTATGAATGAGTTTCAGCATGCTTAATAGTCCCTGCCACAGAACATGCTTCCTCTTCTGATAAAACTTTAGTTTGCACAAAGGCCCATTGAAATCCATTGGTATTGCACAAATGGAAGTTTAGTGGAAGCACACTCTACAGTACAGACTCTCCAGCATGCACATAATGCATTACAGGGTTGGCAGCCTTCAGGTGGGACACGGTGATCTCCGGGAATTGTAAAGACTACAAA